ACAGGCACGATTCTGGGAGTCAAACGGTCGGTCCCGTCTTAAACCAGCACTACATTTCTCAGTTATGGGAAAAACGGGAATATAGTTCACAGTGTCACACAACATTTTTCGGGGGTCTGGACGAGGCTCGGCCAAAAGGAAATGTTTGGCCGCTATGGGCCTGTTTGCAAAAAAAAATTTTAAAAATTAAAAATAAAAAATTGCAAGGGAGATGAGCAATAGCGAACTTCAGCAATCAAACAGCATCATATACACAAGACCAGATAGTCGTGACCTCGAACCAACATCACAATTGCATCACGAGTTTCACCAAATAAGAAGACACCAAGAGCTCATAATCGACAATGCTGGTAAAGTCTCATCATCATCATCAATGAAGAACCAATGTTGATATCTTATCTGGCGCTCGGCGCCCAGACTACAGATAGCAGATCCTATCTAGCCTAGACTACAATGCCGAATGATGACGACAACAGCTTTCCCGAAGTACGAGCATACAGTGACCAATGTCGCACTCTTCTAGCACCAGGTATGTCTCTCGCCTCACTCACAACCTCGTTCCCCAACACACAGATGCCACTTGCACCCAAGGACCACCCTGCGCCACACCCAGCTTACATCAGCGCAGCTCGGCTATGGCTGCCTGCTCCTTCCCTGCTCGCCCGTGAGCGCGTGAGCGCTGGCCAGCAAATAGCGCAGCATGCAGCTAGCACCCGAATGCCGAATATGGAGGCAGGCCCTTTGCTATATCGAAGTGGCCTGCCTGCGTTCAGTCCCAGGAAGCTTCCAGTAGGCCCTGGTAGCCTGAGGCCCAGCACGAATGAGAACAGGCCTTGGGCCTGAGGTGGTTGCATGTACCCAACTGCCTTGGCCTGTGTTTGGCCCAGTACCCGTATCCAGCCCAGGGCCTGCTTTCCATACATTCACACAGGCAGCCCAGGGCCTGGGTTCTCTCAACCAACTGGCGCTGCGCAACTGCCTGAATTTCCTTGAGTTGCGTGGTGACCGAAATAGGGGCCCTCAGGCCCTCGTCGTGCCTGCCTTCACTTAGGGCGGCCAATGTAATACTTGGCAGCGCCAAAAAGGGGCTCATAGGGGCATAAGCCTCGCAAAAAGATGATAACGTGAGGAAAGACATCGGGGATCCAGACATGGGTCCGGTGCAGGTGTCGGGTTGTCTGGATGTCCGTGTCCGGGGCAACCAGGATATGAAGGTTCTGAGCAATTTCAGACCTAGAACCACTAGGGTTCAAGGTTGTAAGAAGAGTAACAGCAAATACCTAAAGAAGGGAGGGGGAAAAGTTAGGAAAGGTTCAGGATTCAAGCAAAGTTTACGGCAACCAAGTCGGACAGGGCTTAGTGTTTCAGCAAAGACCACGGCAAGGGGCCAAACCAGCAGTTCTAGCGAGCATAGAAAATCCGATAGCCAAGGAGCTGAGAAGAACAGGCTGGTTGGGGTCCAAGGAAGCTAGTAACAAGTACCAAAACGATAGGGTAATCAGACTAACAACCAAGGACAGAAGCATAATAGAGCAGGCTAGTTTAGGCAGGGGTGAAGGGTGGTACATCCTTCCTTTGCGAAGTATTCAATGCCGTCGTTTGGACCTGCACTCCATAAGTGGGAGGAGTGTGTGTGAGTGCCTATTGTAATCCTTTCTCACTTGCCGGTGGAATAGGAACCGGACTGATGCTCCCCAGAATGGAAAAGGAGCCAAAACCGTAAGGTTCTGTTAAAAAAAAAGAAAAAAAAAGAAGTCAGAGGTATGCAATAAATCGCATTTTCCCAGTGGGGCTGTACACTTAAACCACAAGTACTCCAGGGGGTCTTAGGCCCCCTCTGGGGAGGCTCTGATGCAAATGCATATGGACCCGCGCCGCGCACCCATTCAGCCACTGCGTTAACGACCTGAAAATGTGGAGTTACTGGTGGTTTGTAGTTTGTTTTCTTGTTTTGAGCCTTGCGGGATTTGATCCTGTGACCTGTAACTCGTGTGTTCTGTTTGTGAGTGCTGTGCCCTATGGGACTTGATCCCTGAGTCTGTCGCTTGTAGTGGCTGGGGGAATTCTGCCCGTCCGTTGTTGGAGCGCCGCTGCTCTATTTTGGGCGAGGTCATCTTCTTCATCGAAGCCCAGCCATAGCTGGGGTTGGGAAACAAAGTTGAAGATCACACTGCTGCTATTTCGCAGCTCTGCATGAGAGCATCCACGGGACTGTGTTGTTGGGTTTGGGTGCTGCCATCTTCCACTTGGCAGCCATATCTGCTGTTCCTCTCGAAGAACTTTGTCTTCTTCGAAGTGCTGGATCGGTTGTCTCCTTCTTCATCAGGAGTTCCAGCGCTGCACTTCCGTGCGGGTGCTGAGCTGGCGCTGTTATCATTGGGGTTGCTGGTTCAGATTGGCACGTTGTGACAGCTGTGGGGTTACTGCTCTTATGGCAGTCATAGCCAGGGGTATGAGGTGGCGAGGAGGAAGAAGAAGACTCCTGCATACTTCATTGAACACTTGTTTCTGGTCGTTCGGGGTTGTTATAAACACGGTTTTGATTCTTTGGAACAAGTACTCTGGACTGATTGGAGGAGGACGAGGGATCGCACATTTGAAATTCGTTTTTCAATTCTCTGTGTATTTTGAGCTTCTGCAGCTCTACTGTGCATATCTTCTCTCCGGTTTTGTTTGGATTTGCCTCCTTCGAGTCTACTCTGCAACTGCATGCATGTATGGGAACGTGTGAATTCGTTGTGGATTGAAGTTCAATTGGGTACATAACAGGTATCTGTGTTGGGAAGTCAAATAATAGAGGCATTTGGGCTCTCTCCATACCCGTCCATGTGGATGTGCTAGAGAGATCCTGTTTGCTGGTGCAACATTTTTTCCCTCGTCGCGCCGGTCACGGGCTTTTCTTCAGCTCCTTGTACCTGCCTGCTGGTGGCTGAATCATAGGCACATACCTATAACTAGATGTCCGGATGTAATTACCGAGCTTGGATTGTTTTTGTTGCAGTATTCCCGAGGGTGGCCTACCTGCTAATATAGGAAAAATGTCGTGTGTTTCATGTCACAGGCCTTGTTTTTTAGCTAACAGATAGTTTGAGTCTAACCCTGAAGTCTCTTCTGAGCGGGGCTGGTCCCCGGTTGAACCGGGGGACCCTCCCCCAACCAGGAGCCTGCCGGTCGGACCGGGCGGTCGACACGGCCGACAGACTCCCGGTTGAGTCCAGCACATTGCACTAGGGGGGGGGGGGGGATACTTGGGAGTCACGGGCATCCCCGTGATTGCCCAGCCCCAAGGGGGCCCCTGCCTCTTTGAAAAAAAAAAATTGGGGCGTCCTGGACCTCATTTCTTAAGAAAAACGTGCGGAGGATATCCAGCGCTGATCTTTGCAGCGGAGAAACGCCACACATTTTTCTTAAGATGTGGGTCCGGTAGGCCCCTTCTCCAATCTGTCCTCTTGTGGTCCAAAGGACCAGTTACTGTTGGTAACATGTGATGCCCGTTCACCCTCAGCCACGAGGGGAACACTATGCTCGTGATGAGGCTCTGCTGAGATTATATCCTCCTGCGACGTCCCTGCCATCTGTGGAATCGTGATGTCAGAGCTGTCCGAGGTGCAAGCGCAATAGTGGACCTAAGCTATATTCTTCTCTCTATATATCTGGAATGGACTTTGCTCCACTACATGTATCTGGACAGACTGCCAGGCAAGATACTTCCGTACTTGTAACTCAAAAAAGAACAAACAGAAAACGCTCTGCCCCCACGAGCTGAAAGCTGGTCCCATAACTCTTCTGCTGTTGAGCTATACTCTGGAAGAGCTATTAAGTTCTGGCAAGGACCTCCTTTCATCACATCTGGTTCAGCTCGTGGGGCATCATTATCAGATGATCTACTCCACGAAGTGCTCTAGCCACGGGGGGGTCAGATAAGTGAACTTGCTTACTCGACCCCTCCCCATGGAAGCCATAGTTGCCTGAATATGTCAATAATATCCCCCTGCCCCCCTCTGGAAGCCCCCTGAAAAACATTGTTACCTTCAAAATTTTATTGTGTATTCCGACAGCTCTCGAAGAGCACAGTCGGAATTTGCCAAAAAAAAAAAAGAAAAAGGATACTTGCCATTATTTGGGCACTTTTTTTTCAAAACCGGTTTCCCGGTTCAACCCCCCTGGGCTGGTCCGGCTCCGGTTGGACCGAGGTAGCTCAACCGGCCGGTTGCCGACCCAGCACTGCTTCTGAGTGGTTCTGAACAGAGACAATTACAAGTCTGGCTGACGGAGAAAAAAGCTTCCTGCCTCGTCGTAGCGGAAGCACCGAGTTTGAGAAGCAGTCGAGACTTAAGGGCAGGCACTAGTGGTTCTGTGTTCATGCCGAGGAAGCATCAACCTAGTTTAGAAATGGCCAGATTCGTCAGTCCACAGCACAGGCATAGGCAGCGGGGTCTACCCATTACACTGCCCTTCTCGGAATGTTTCTCACTCATGGAGACTGCGAGGTTCTTGGGCCAGTTTGTCTTTGTAGTTCCAACCCTGTTTCAAGTGATCCCCAATGCCTTGTGCAACTCTTCACGTGGTCCTTGTTCACAATGTCATAAGAGCAAAATGTTGTTCGCATTCCCTACTATTTGCAGAATGTTTGTGATGTTTTTGTTTTTTTTCCCCCCCCTGTGTTTACAGGAAGATAACAGGGCACAGATGCGACAGTTGGAGAGGGACGTTGAGGCTGCAACCATATCTGAAAGTGAACTGATGGAGCTTGAAGAAAGGGAAAGGTTGCTGGTATGAGCATCATGCCTTAGCTGCCACATTCACATAACCCAAAATGAGGAAAGTTTCTTGAATTGCTTAATACAGGGTGCATTAACAGAACCCAGTACATGACTTCTCCTGTTGCCCACTTTTCTTGTCCAAGATCATTCATGTATGTGTGTGTAACGTAGCAAGGAGGACCGGAGAGAGAGAGAGAGAGAGAGAGAGAGAGAGAGAGAGAGAGAGAGAGAGAGAGAGAGAG